CGTTAGTACCTTTTTCCTCATACCAGCCCAGGCTCACGTATTTCTGCTACCATGCAAGAACGTATCCCATTCATGAAGAGTTCCTCAACCTTGGTGTCACCTGATGTGCAGGCGTGGTCACGGGAGACATGTTTGGGTTTTGGTTTAGAAGTTATAACTCTGTGCCTCCAGTATACCATACTCACATTCACTTGAATGGTCACACAGTCTGGAAGAAGGTTGAGAAACACTGCACTCACATGCAGTGAAATTTCCTGGTTTTGGGATTCTACCCCCTGCATGTCATGGGAAAACAGTTGTGTAGGCTACTGCTTGTGTACACATTAATCCCATCAATGCGGTGCCTTCAGTGTTTGTAGGAATTCCAAAAACCTACGAGGAAAAATGTTAAAAACAACCTGTAATCGCTGCTTTGTGTTCACAATCGCACATTTCTTTATTTATCTCTGAATTCTCCTACTTTGAGCCATAGTCCCACGTTAGTCATTTCACAATCTATACTGTGCAGTAACTTTGCTACAGTCTGCTGTGGCTTCCTTTTGTTTCATATCTGGTCGACTCCCCAGCAACAGATGTTGGTCATTGTGCTAAAAATGTGTCAAAGCGGAGTCACATCTGGTAGGAATTATACCCAAAGTGGATGCAAATCTTCTGCATACATTCCCGTTTTGTGTTCTTTGTAATGTTTTGTATGTGCCGTTGAGAGACAAATGTTGAGTGACATTTTATCAGAGGTAATATTCTATATTTTATTTGTATTTAAAGGTAGATATTATGAAAAGACAAGCTAAGGAGTGCTGTGATGTTCTGTATGTTTTGAGAAGTACTTATGAGTAGTTGGGGGATATTCTCATGTCTAATTATTGTATTGTGTGGCAGTGATTACTTCACAAAATGTTAGCTATGTAGAAATATTCTCAAAACTAATGGCCATATTGCTGTATGATGACTTTTAATGTGTGTTTTTGCCATGTTGCTTGTCATAGTGGATTTCTGGAGGGATATTATTTTTCTATGATGATTTGTATGTTGTACGTGTGAAAAATTAAGGTCAGTCAGCAGGGTAGGCAGAAATGCATGATGTTAAAGGAAAACAGATGGGGGAGGGGGGAGAAAGATGGAGATGAAGGACGAGGAGTTGTTGGATGATGGAGAAGGAAAGTAGGTAGGGTGGACTGGGAAAGAAGGTGGAAAGAGGTGGTGTTTTATTCACTTGAAGACCTCTATCGGTTGTATGCCTGTTTCAGTCAGACATGTCTGAATTTTGTGGAGTCTAGGCCACTGAATAGTGCTAGCAATATCATTTATAAGCAGGCATTGTTAGACTGTGTTCACAAATAACTCCTAAAGATATGAGGTATATATTTGGTTATATGAATCAGTGTGAAAAAGCATTTATTCTCAATATTTTAACATCTCACATCGGTCGAATTGTGCTGGATGTTTTGTAATACTTACAAAACAAAAATGGTCTTTGTATTTATTATTACTTGTATTTTTTCTATGGTGAAATTTTAATTACATTGTCTATTTTATATATTAATTATAATAAATGTTGTACATATTGTACATAATATGGTGTGTTTGCTGGCTGGATTGAAAGAGTAGACGCACACTCACGGTACAGCAACGAAGTGGAAATGCAGGATGTGCTCCACAAGATATCCCTCTGCATCAGAATATAAACTCATGGTATAAAAGTATAAAGGGTGAGCTGTTTCTACTTTGTACAGTACTTACACAGAATTCATATACAACACATAAAGATACTGATTTGCTGTGGTGGAAAAAATACTCAGATCCCTTATGTAAAAGCAGCAATAGATCTGTGAAAAGTAACAAGTAAAATCCTGTATTCAAAATGTTACTTACAGTGCCTTGCGAAAGTATTCGGCCCCCTTGAACTTTGCGACCTTTTGCCACATTTCAGGCTTCAAACATAAAGATATAAAACTGTAATTTTTTGTGAAGAATCAACAACAAGTGGGACACAATCATGAAGTGGAACGAAATTTATTGGATATGTCAAACTTTTTTAACAAATAAAAAAACTGAAAAATTGGGCGTGCAAAATTATTCAACCCCCTTAAGTTAATACGTTGTAGCGCCACCTTTTGCTGCGATTACAGCTGTAAGTCACTTGGGGTATGTCTCTATCAGTTTTGCACATCGAGAGACTGAAATTTTTGCCCATGCCTCCTTGCAAAACAGCTCGAGCTCAGTGAGGTTGGATGGAGAGCGTTTGTGAACAGCAGTTGTCAGTTCTTTCCACAGATTCTCGATTGGATTCAGGTCTGGACTTTGACTTGGCCATTCTAACACCTGGATATGTTTAGTTGTGAACCATTCCATTGTAGATTTTGCTTTATGTTTTGGATCATTGTCTTGTTGGAAGACAAATCTCCGTCCCAGTCTCAGGTCTTTTGCAGACTCCATCAGGTTTCCTTCCAGAATGGTCCTGTATTTGGCTCCATCCATCTTCCCATCAATTTTAACCATCTTCCCGGTCCCTGCTGAAGAAAAGCAGGCCCAAAACATGATGCTGCCACCACCATGTTTGACAGTGGGGATGGTGTGTTCAGGGTGATGAGCTGTGTTGCTTTTACGCCAAACATAACGTTTTGCATTGTTGCCAAAAAGTTCGATTTTGGTTTCATCTGACCAGAGCACCTTCTTCCACATGTTTGGTGTGTCTCCCAGGTGGCTTGTGGCAAACTTTAAACGACACTTTTTATGGATATCTTTAAGAAATGGCTTTCTTCTTGCCACTCTTCCATAAAGGCCAGATTTGTGCAGTATACGACTGATTGTTGTCCTATGGACAGAGTCTCCCACCTCAGCTGTAGATCTCTGCAGTTCATCCAGAGTGATCATGGGCCTCTTGGCTGCATCTCTGATCAGTCTTCTCCTTGTATGAGCTGAAAGTTTAGAGGGACGGCCAGGTCTTGGTAGATTTGCAGTGGTCTGATACTCCTTCCATTTCAATATTATCGCTTGCACAGTGCTCCTTGGGATGTTTAAAGCTTGGGAAATCTTTTTGTATCCAAATCCGGCTTTAAACTTCTCCACAACAGTATCTCGGACCTGCCTGGTGTGTTCCTTGTTCTTCATGATGCTCTCTGCGCTTTAAACAGACCTCTGAGACTATCACAGTGCAGGTGCATTTATACGGAGACTTGATTACACACAGGTGGATTCTATTTATCATCATTAGTCATTTAGGTCAACATTGGATCATTCAGAGATCCTCACTGAACTTCTGGAGAGATTTTATATCTTTATGTTTGAATCCTGAAATGTGGCAAAAGGTCGCAAAGTTCAAGGGGGCCGAATACTTTCGCAAGGCACTGTAAGTAAATGTCTTAGCATTAAAACATCCTTAAGGTATTAAAAGTACTCATTATGCCAAAATGACACATTTATCAGTATACACCATATTATTGCTGAAAAAACCTAGAAGAAAGCATCTGGACATAAATACCAGACTAAAATCTTTAATTATCTCTGTTGATATTTATCCATTTGACACAAAATAGTAGCATCATGAGCAGCTTTAAATATGTACACAGCTAGAAATCAGAGCAGTCATTGAAATGTGAAGACAGTTGAAGTAAAAATACAAAACTAGCTTTTTGTTTCTTCTGTGCTCAGTGTTTGCAGCATATACGACTACGTCAATGTACGTCACTACTTTTCATCCTGTAGACAGCACTTCAAACTGCATTTGTGAACTATGCCGTACAATGTGCTGTAAGATTAGCAGCAAGTCTACTTTTTTTTTTTTTTTTATGAACATTTTTCTGAAGTCAAGCGAGGACATCTGCCTTTTTTAGGCAATGCACAACATTTTTCAATTTGCAAGAAGCACACTAACACATGCATAAGAGGTTGCTGCTATTAACAATTCAACCCCAAACTGTAAAAGCGCTGGCTCTCAGACACCTTAACTGTTCATCCATGATTCCAACATGAAAATGCAGTTACACAGAGAAAAGTGTATTCAGTGACAATGATGCTGAACTGACTCGGCCTTTTCTAAAGGAATTAGGGGTCACCGTAAACAAAAACAAAAAAACAATGCAGCTGGTGTCAGTGTCCAAATATAGCAACGTAATCATCCAGGCAATACTCAGCAATGTCCAAAAACAGGCGACTGCTCCTTTAACCTGGTATCTCTGCTTTTTAAAACCATTTTGTCAGATGGAAGCAGAAATATTAAAAAGACCCATGACTTTCAGAGGCTGGGACTTGCTTCTATTTTCTGATGAAAACACACAAACACACCCAGTGACGAGAAGATTAAAAAAATAACACTGGCTCTAAAGCAAAGCTTTTTTTTCCCGTTACATGTGCGTTGAGCTTTACGTGTGTGATAATGGCCTGTAGATAAAAGAGTGACTGTGTTCATGTTTCCTCTGTACACCCCCCTGGTGCTCATACCGAGCTACAGCAGAGCAGTGAAAGTGGTTACAGCAAACTCACTTGCACACCAGGAATGACTCACTCAGATGACTCAGGAACTCCGGTTATGAGTAAAAAAAAAAACAACTGCTCTGGTAATATTAAATCAAATAAAAGATTTACTGTGTGAACAGAACAGTATCCAAGGCAAAGAAACACAACAATGTCAAGTTTACACACTGGGTTATTTTTAAGGTGACAGAATATTCTGTCTGACATATTATTAATGCATAAGATAAAAGTTTTGTCATATATTTTTTGCTAATATTAAGCTTGTGATTTCCGTACATTTTCCAGTACATCACAGCTCAGGACAAAAAAAAATGTGTGCAAAAGGCCCTCACACAATACTCGCTGAGAAAGATGTCACAACAGTGTGTGTCAGGACAAATGTACATGCAATTAAACTACACCAACGAATTTAAAGGAAATTATCAAAAATAAGAAAGCTTTATCTAAATTTCTGCTGTGACAGCGCCCCCTACATGTGTGTTCTTCAGGGGCTATGTCTAATGCTATTGGTAGTTGTAATTTGTTTGGTCCAGCAGCCACACGGGATGCTAATCAGCTGGTGACCAACTTTTGTCAGCTTTGTACAATCTGTAATTTACACATTCTTGGCCAGTCGATGTTGAGATTTGAATGACAGAGAAACAGCTGGCATGCTGAGGTCACAGGACTGGCCACTGCTGAGAGTTTTGACACTCTGGTCATTGCTTACTTCAAATGGATCCATGAAAGAAAGACAGCTACCGCTAGCTCGGCAAAACAGTGCTGAGCGTTCTGGAGCTGCTGGTGGCTGTATAGTGTTGAAGTCACCTGAACATAAAGACAAGCTAGGCTAACCAGCCTCAGGTTTCTGAGCAGAAATGAGTTAGCTTAGCTAGCTAGCTTCTACTTTCTGAGTGAAGCACAAACACATTAGCATGAAGAGTCCTTCCAGTTACTAATGCTGTAAAAGGACACTTTAGTTCAACTTTAAAATATGTGCCTTTAACCTTTGGAATCATGCATTCCAAATGAATGATTTCATTCCTTTAATAGCACTCCTCTACTGAGAGCAAGCATCTAAAGTTAGCTCTAACCTATATTCATCCTCTGTGTTTTCCTCAGTCCTGTTAACCTACATTGTGCGCTGCAGAGGTCGAGGTTTAGCCCCGGCCATTGAAATAACTCTTCAGTTATACCACTGTAATCCTGACCTGCTGTTGTCACCCACTGGAGCAGATGTACTGTATAATCTATAACATGCTCTGCCTCCTCTCATCTGTTCCACTAATATCGATAACAACATTGATCCATACAGCCGACATCAACTCATGTTTTTGACTTGCTTGCCCTTTAAGTCCATATCCATGCAGCACACCGGGGTCCCCATAGGTTCACTTACAAATAAGCTTCTGTTTAAAATACGTTTGCAGACAAACTAATGAGTCACTTATTTTGCAAATTCATTTTCTGCACAGGTTCAAAAAATTTAAAGTTCACAACATATAAAACTTTAATGATGTTATCCATCTCCAGACATTGAAAACAAAGGATTTTCATGACGGGGGAATCCTTGTTAAACAGTTAATGACCATCTAAAAACAACAGGGCCTTTACAACAGTTAAAACAGTAACGTCCATCGGGTTGACTACAATGCCATTTAAGGAAACACGACTGAACTGAAATGTGAAATTAAGCTTCTGTCCAAGCCTGAAGACGTTCGTTCTAAAGTCAAGTACGACTCAGTATGTAAAAGCTTGACTCACAAACTTTCAAAAAAAAAAAAAACCCAAGTCCTCTTTATTTTCTGGCCAAGACTTTAACACCAAATCATCTTAGAATGTTCCCACCACACAAGATGCTTGGGAAAGGTGGGTGTGACGTGTTCATGAAAGAAGGTCCACACATTTGCCATACTGCCTGTCTCAAAACACAGGGAAGACAAAAACACGACTGTCTAATCATTCACACATTAAAGAGGACCAGCTGCACTGGAGGATTTAGTACCACCCACCATTAAAACATCATCCTGAATAAGACTCCGCTGCAGTAAGAGAAGCACCTGTTTGTCATATTTTTCACTCTAGAACTCATCGTCGGAGCTGAGCAGGAGGGTCTTCTCTGTGTCGCCTCGGGCGCTGACGGTACTGTGCATGCGGGAGACGGGCGTTGGCGCCCCCTGCTCCAGTGTGGACTGCTGGGTGTACTGCTGATAGGCTGGGGAGAAGTTGTGGATGGCATCCTGGACCATGTCGCCCGGGTTCATGGTCTCCTTCAGGCTGCTGGAGATGCTTTTCATAGGGGCACAGCGACCTGCATGAGGCAAACAAGACAAAACAGTTAGAGGTCAGCAGAGGAGGTGAAAGAAAAAGGGTAAAAGGAAAAGGGAAAGGACAGAAAAAGACAAGGTGGAGAGGGAAATAGAAGAGAAATGTAAAGGGAAGAAGCAGAGAGGTAAAATTAAAACAAAGGGAATTTATACGGTGATTTGTTTAGTGATGTGGAAGCAAATCAAACAGAGAAAAGGAGAAGAAAGAAACAGAATGTGAGTAAGAAAAAACACGGGAATGAAAAGGGAAGAATGAGAAGCATGAAAATCAAAGAAGAGAACAAATGGAAGGGATGATGAGGGTAGAGGGGTGATTTAGTGTAAGAATTAAAAGGCTGGTGGAGGACACAAAGGGAGAACAGAGCAACGGGGCATCGGTGATTTACAGGGTGTTTAACGGTGAGACAAAAGGAGGGAATGGGTGAAAGAAGCAAGAGGAAAAGGAGGAATCACACAGGGGCAGTGGATTTAGAGAGCGGACAGGATAAAGAGAGATCCCAGACCCAAAGGAAGAGTGAAAAAAAGGAGTTAAAGAAGGTGGCAATGATGGAAAGGAATAAAAAAATGGTATTGTCAGAGAAAGATGAACAAACAAATGATGTGAATCACATTCCAAAGCCTGGATGAAAAAATCCAACAGAAGCTAACAATACAGTTTTGGGACAACATAATTAGTAAAAACAGTAATAGCAGGAAAGGAAAAGGGGGATTATGGAGTAAACATAATCAATATTTAACCTACCAAACTCTCCGTATGTAGGAGCAGGTCCTTTAAGGTGCAGCAGGGAAGAAAAGACAGAAGTAAAAGATGGACATGTAGAAAAAAGAAAGGAGAATACGATCCATTTGGTGTCAAGAAAATACAAGCAATGTAGACAATACAAGAGGTGAAGAATAAAGCAAAAGAAAAGGTTTAAAAGAAAGAGAATAAATAAAGTGGGTGGATTTTGGTTAAAAGCAGGGAAAAGAGGGAGAGAATCCACCTTGGAACAGATGAAAAGACATGGAAATAAAAGAGAAATCTAAATGCTGGCTTTTCCTTTAGCAAGTTTTTATACACATGCAACAAACTGGCAAGGTGCTCATTTCCTACTCTCTACCCCTTCTCACCTCGTGAATCGAGACTTTTATCCATGTAGACGTTGTATGTGAAAGCGTGGCGCAGACCTAGGGCTGCAAAAAACATCTCGATGCAAATGATAAAGTCCTGGTAGCCTGCGGCCACCGTGCCCTCGCCCACAGACACTTCCACTGAGTTAATCTGAGGGATGGCCCCGCATTTCTCCAGGATGGCCAGCAACATGCCTAAGCACAAAAACATTAGGAGGGGACATACTGACATCAAAAGCCTCTAGAGTATGCGACATGTTTCTGCGATGAATAATGCAGTATTCCTACCCTGCCAGAAGGAGAGGAAGATGACGGACTTGACCATGAAGAACTTGAGCATGGGGCTGTAAGGAATGAGCAGCTCCCTCGTGGCAAAATAAAAGAGGAAGAGGGCATACAGAGACAAGCTGACGGAGATGTTGTAGATGATGGTGACATATAAGTAACCACTGGCAACACTGTGGAGAGAGAAGAAGCCAGAGAGATCCATGTTAGCGCTGTCAATGCTGAGGTCCAATTTCTACACTCAAACACTTCATGGAGAAAGTGATGGATCAGCCTGGCACTTTCGGTTGATCTAGCAGTTAAAGGAGTATTGCAGAAATACCTCGATTTTTCTACATTTGGTGGCATCTGTCTGACTGGAAATGCTACTGTAATCACTTTTTAACTGTGTTGCTGGATTCTGATGGCCATGATGTGATGCAGCTAACTACCATTACATTGCCAGCACCACCAACCACACTCAGTACAGCAGATGGCAAACATTCCTCCTCCCTGCTTGCAGCACTTACTTGAAGTCTCCATCTTTGTATTTGCCATAAGCCTGCAGGATGACGGTGATGACGGCCATGAGCGGTTTGACCACACAGAACTGCAGAGTGGCCTGCTTGCAGAAGCGCAGGAAGCCGATGGAGTAGGCCTTCCTCCTCAGACAGCAGGTGCCATACATACAGCTAGACCTGACAGGAAAAACCTCAACTTTACACTTACTGTAGTTTTGTAACATGCACAGGTGTTGTAGCAGCAAATACTAAAACATATGTTCTAAATATAAGAATATAGGCCTTTTAGAATGTATACTGGGCTAAAGTGGGACTCACTCGATGGGTTTTCCTCTGATCTCAGCCATGATAGCACACTCTCCTCCCAGATATTCATAGCACAGACTCAGGAAGTTGTAAATCACAAATGCTAGGGAGAAACAAAGAAAGAAAGGGTGTGCTGTTATTGTCTCTCTGCAGATATCATTTCCTTAGTCAATGCTGCACAAGAGACTATTGCACAAGATATTTAACAGTGGACTAGTTGGCTTGTCTGACTGGAAATGCTACTGTAATCACTTTTTATTAGTTACCTGAGCTCACTTAATCTGATGTATGACACAGAGGACATATGGAAAATGATTCAGAAAATATGTCCTCATAATAAAAATGACTGGACAGTGGAGTGTGCTGAAGAAAATATTTGAATCAGTAGTTTTTTCTTCACAACAGATTCTGTGTCAGTTTTTTAAATGTCTTGTTCTTTACCAGGACCCTGAAACTGGAGCAGTTAAATCCTTCAAATTCTTCAAAGTGATATATGAATCATAATTATGACAAAAAGGTCTTAGTTTTGCCGTTTTAGCAAGGTGGTAATGATAATTTATATTTATTTCTCAGTCTCTTTATCAAAATCAGAATCAGCTTTATTGGCCAGGTGTGTTGGACACATGAGGACTTTGACTCTGGTACAGTGGCTCTCAATGTGCATGTGCATGTCCTTCTGTAAAGCAGCAAACAGACAAGTAAACAATATAAGGCTGAGAGAACAAAAAGAAAAGAAAAAGGAATGTGCATTAGAAAAATAAAAATAAAGTACTTATAAATATAAGTATGCACACAGCTTAAATGTACTTTTTCAGATAAATAGATATAAAGGTAAATTTACAAGATATTTAAGAATTACAAGCACTGAGGGCTGTCGTTCTGTTATACAGTCATGGGTTCATCAGAGTGATGACCCGGGGGAAAAAACTGTGCCTGTGCCTGGTTGTCTTGGTGCACAGTGACCTGTAACGCCGTCCAGAGGGGAGGAGTTCAAACAGATTGTGTCCAGGGTGTGAGGGGTCAGCAGTGATCCTCTCCGCCCTCCTTCTGACCCGTACGGTGTACAGGTCCTCCATGGAGGGCAGGCTGGCACCAATGATTCTTTCTACAGTCCTGACTGTTGTCCTTCCACAAAGGCTGTTCCTGAATGAGCTTCTTCAGACTGTGGAAGGATCAACTTAACATCCAGATGAAACTGCCAGATGCTGAGCCAGGTCCCAACTCTGAGAAACGTCTGCTCAGATTTTGACAGTTTTCTTGCTCCCCCACTCCTGGTTTTGTCCTTGGCTTCTCCAGATTCTTCATATTTTCTTTAAAACAGCTTGGATGCCACATTGAGAGTATCCAGTTTGTTTGCTGATTTTTACTGACATTTTTGTGTTTTCTCCTACTGTGTACAGGTTTCCTATATTTTCTAGTTGTATTCTGATAAAGAAAAGTGGGACATAGATGTATATGGTCATCAAAATCTAATGGTGGGCTAAAGCTTTTGTACAGTACATTTATACTGGTTATTTATTTTTAATAGCCTTTCTTAGTATTTATAACACTAAAGGTAGACTTACAAACAAAATCAGCTTTAAATGGCAATGAGAAGTACCTGAGAAAACTCATGCCACAAAGCAAATGATACAACAGCGTGAATCACTCAGCACATATCAAACATCACAGAAGCATGTGTTATGTTCTAATAGACCGATCACACTTTAAACAGATGTAAGAGGCTAAATTCAGACTTTTTCAGTTGTCATGACAACTGAAATATTTCACTGCAAATGTCACACCAGCAGTTCCAGGAACTTTACAAAGGCATGACCCCAAAGTCTATAAATGATTTACACACCATCACTTGATTCACCGACATCTATTTACTCATGATAAGCAGGATGACTGGAGTCCAAAATTATCTTCTTTTCTCACCTGGCAAAAGTTAGTCAACTAGAACCCTGAGACCAGTGACTGGAGCTTTAATGAACCGCTTTGAGGTTGTTCAGTAGTAGTAAGAGTCGAAACCACCACTGTGAAGCAGACCCTCCTGTCCTGACACCTGAATCATGATAATGGGCAGTGAGGCTGGCCACACCTCAGCTGGCAGCCTGTCTCTTGTCAGACTGAGGGACCAGGGAGTCTCCTTAGTCATTGTATAGTCACAAGTGCAACAGATTCCTCTGCTAAGAAGCTGGAGCAAAAAAAAAAAAAAGACACTACCAAGGACCCAAAGAGGCCGACGCCCAGTCTGGGGGCACCAATATAATTTGTGTGGCGACAACCCACGTTCAGTCTCCTCTGTGGGGGTGCATTCTGTTCGCAACTTGTCTGTGGAGGAGTTTTTGTTGCTCTCTGACAGGGTACTGAACACTGTGAATGAGTCTACAGCAGCAACCAGAAAGGCTGTTGTAGAGAAACCAAGCGTGTGTTGGTATGTTTTGTAAGGAGGCGGGAAAAGGAAGCAACCGGGTCGAGGTATAGACCAGTGAGCCAGTCACCAACAAGAAGTCATGGCAAGTCAGCGCGACCACTTAATGTTTTATCATTGTGAAAGGCACGCGCTAGGTCTGAGAGCTGTCTTCAATTATGTAATTGCGGTTTGTGGGCATGTGCACGAAGCATTCCCCACACAACTGATCACATGACTGTCTCGTCTCTCCAGTGGATTATCTCCCCTGGGTGCTGCTTCAGTGAGAGGCAGATGACGAACAAGAAGCTCATACAAAACATAACTGGGCTAATCCAGTGAACCTCCAGGGAGCTTCCTATATATGCTCACTCACTCACACACACTCTTACTGAGTGGATGTGTTTGAGTGTGACTGTGAATGTGATGTTAAAGATGAGCATCACAGGTGTGTATCACTTAACTGCGACAGTGTGAAAATGTGATATACTGCATCTTGGGTGTGTGCTGCAGTGTTGTGTCACCACACACACACACGTCTCTGAGCAGATCTCAGCTGTACTGCTGGCAGTGATTCTTGTTACATCAGCTTTATATTCTCCCTTCCCAGTCTGACTGTATCTTTACTCCCCACACACACACTTGAACATCCTCACTGTCTTCATCATAGCCTCCTGGCTGATGTTAGACATCTGTCGGACAATGCTTAGTTAATAAAATGCCATACAAGCCAGTTCATTATATCAGACATTATATCAGAGATGAGAACCGGTTGATCTGCTCTGACTAGGTCTCTCTGTCTTTCAGCTGTTCTCCATTATGCTCCTCCACTTCTCCCCCGTCAGCACTGTTTGTTGCCAGGGTGATACAGTAGATCCACTTACAATGACAATGGGAACTTTGCAGCAAGTTTGGTTGAGAGAAACTCATTATCTGATGCAGCCATTCTGCTTGATGAGGAGGATTTGTGAGCACAGTTGCCATGCAACAGGTCGGTCACCCTCAACGAGAAAACGATGTGGGCAGGGCTCAGCAGCGCTGTGGGAAAGGGGTAGGCAAGCAGAAGGAGGAGATCAGGCAGAGGAGGTAGAGGGGATGAGGAATGAAAAAGATTTGGTCAGCAGAGAAATGGAAGTGTCGAAATAAAAAAAGAAGGAAGATGATGTCAAGAGTGGAGGAGGAGGAAACGGAGCAGGAGGAGGGGAGTCATCTGTCTGAGGGAGTGATAAGACAATATACTGTACTGACGTCGCTTCCGGACAAAAGCAGATCCATACATAGAGCGCCTTCACTCCGCATTCAAATACATGCGACATCGTCAGTTCGCCGACACAGGAAGTGGCACCCAAGCTCAGCGTCACAATGAGCGGACTATTTTTATCCTGAACGTCACAGCTGACTGAAGAATGTGGATCGGAGGCAGCCAGCTAGCTTTACCTTAAACAGCTTCTGCTATTTCAAGAATTTATAAACAGCAGCATTTGTTGGGTTTGTATCACCTGTCCGCTCAGCAGAAGTGACAGCTGTGTGTCCTTCAGCGTCTCTACCTGACACAATTAAACAATGTCCATATGCAATACCAAAGAAAGGGTCCAGCTGCAGTGAACAGTGAGCTCCATGTTTGCATCCCAGCTAGATTCCAGTTACACTAACTCAACTCAAAATAATCATATATGGAGAAGTTTAATTTGGCCTCAGCTTATATAAAGCAAAAAGACAATTCAGTATTTAACAAATAGGTAAATACAGCTTCAGTATTGTTAGGTATTTTTAGTCAGATAGAAATTGGATAGATACTTTATGTATTAGAAATGTTTAGTGGAGATAGGATGTCTAGTTAGACTGTTAAATGCTTAGTCATGCTTATGAGTTTCTACAGGGTACATCTGGTCAAGGATAACTAGAGAGAAGAGTTGATGACTGTCAGCAGACAGGGTGTTTAATATTATTATTATGACGTGTAGAACTGTAGCCTTAGCCATAATATGTTCTTATGTTTAAGACACGACATGTTCTAGAGGTTGTGAGAATGTTTTTAGTTACACACCACTTAATCAACAGACACACACACACATTGATTTGCTTCATGTTTTGACTACTGCTATGACCAGCTGCAAAGCTGGTAACAGAGACGTCTCGGTTGACGTTCCTGTGTAGTATGGGGCTAGCCCAACCGAAGAGATATAATGTATAGGCCTGGTGGG